TCTTACCAATTATTCTTGCTTCTTATCATTTTCTCGTTTACTGGCATATTTGAGACCTAGCTAGCTAGCTATATTTTATGACTCAACATTAGTAAGAAATAGTTATTTGCTAGCCAACTAGCTCTGTTTAGCTTAGCATTTAAATTTGCTGCCCCCGTTTTTTTAAGTTCATAAACCTTATTCAACTTAACATTTCAATAAAGCAAACGTTAGCTGACTTACTTATATATTTGGCACATAGCTAGCTAGCTCCATTTATTAATTCAACATGAGTAGCTAAGAGGCTAAGAGCTTGCACTGATTAGTTTAGCATGTTGATGCTAGCTTGCTACATTTTACTCTTTGCTTCAAGTCAGCAGACCAGTTGTATCTAAGAGATATTGTCACATTTGTCTGACTACTGTAACACAACAATGATTTTAAAACGTTACAAAAACGTTAACTCAAAGTTTTATTATCCAAACCATGTTTTCAAAAGTTGTGCATCTGTTAAACTCCGCCCATTGACCTTTTAGAAACCAATCGGATTTGTTCTAAACCAATCAGATTATTTCTGCCCTAAGAACAAAGTTGACTACACTTTATGTCAATCTGCTTGTGACAGGGGGCCCGTAAGCAATTGCTTATGTCGCTTATGCTTGGAGCCAGCCCTGAACCAAAGAATCGAGAAGAAAGAATGTGTTGAGTAGGTTATTGAGAGTAGCTGGATGGAAGTTTGAATATGAATACAGTGAGGGAAAAAAGTATTTGATCCCCTGCTGATTTTGTATGTTTGCCCACTGACAAAGAAATGATCAGTCTATAATTTTAATGGTAGGTTTATTTGAACAGTGAGAGACAGAATAACAACAACAAAATCCTAGAAAAACGCATGTCAAAAATGTTATAAATTGATTTGCATTTTAATGAGGGAAATAAGTATTTGACCCCCTCTCAATCAGAAAGATTTCTGGCTCCCAGGTGTCTTTTATACAGGTAACGAGCTGAGATTAGGAGCACACTCTTAAAGGGAGTGCTCCTAATCTCAGTTTGTTACCTGTATTAAAGACACCTGTCCACAGAAGCAATCAATCAATCAGATTCCAAACTCTCCACCATGGCCAAGACCAAAGAGCTCTCTAAGGATGTCAGGGACAAGATTGTAGACCTACACAAGGATGGAATGGGCTACAAGACCATCGCCAAGCAGTTTGGTGAGAAGGTGACAACAGTTGGTGCGATTATTCGCAAATGGAAGAAACACAAAAGAACTGTCAATCTCCCTCGGCCTGGGGCTCCATGCAAGATCTCACCTCGTGGAGTTGCAATGATCATGAGAACGGTGACGAATCAGCCCAGAACTACACGGGAGGATCTTGTCAATGATCTCAAGGCAGCTGGGACCATATTCACCAAGAAAACAATTGGTAACACACTACGCCGTGAAGGACTGAAATCCTGCAGCGACGGCAAGGTCCCCCTGCTCAAGAAAGCACATATACAGGGCCGTCTGAAGTTTGCCAATGAACATCTGAATGATTCAGAGGAGAACTGGGTGAAAGTGTTGTGGTCAGATGAGACCAAAATCGAGCTCTTTGGCATCAACTCAACTCGCCGTGTTTGGAGGAGGAGGAATGCTGCCTATGACCCCAAAAACACCATCCCCACCGTCAAACATGGAGGTGGAAACATTATGCTTTGGGGGTGTTGTTCTGCTAAGGGGACAGGACAACTTCACCGCATCAAAGGGACGATGGACGGGGCCATGTACCGTCAAATCTTGGGTGAGAACCTCCTTCCCTCAGCCAGGGCATTGAAAATTGGTCGTGGATGGGTATTCCAGCATGACAATGACCCAAAACACACGGCCAAGGCAACAATGAGTGGCTCAAGAAGAAACACATTAAGGTCCTGGAGTGGCCTAGCCAGTCTCCAGACCTTAATCGCATAGAAAATCTGTGGAGGGAGCTGACGGTTCGAGTTGCCAAACGTCAGGCTCGAAACCTTAATGACTTGGAGAAGCTCTGCAAAGAGGAGTGGGACAAAATCCCTCCTGAGATATGTGCAAACCTGGTGGCCAACTACAAGAAACGTCTGACCTCTGTGATTGCCAACAAGGGTTTTGCCACCAAGTACTAAGTCATGTTTTGCAGAGGGGTCAAATACTTATTTCCCTCATTTAAAATGCAAATAAATTTATAACATTTTTCGACACGCGTTTTTCTGGATCTTTTTGTTGTTATTCGGTCTCTCACTGTTCAAATAAACCTACCATTCAAATTATAGACTGATCATGTCTTTGTCAGTGGGCAAACGTACAAAATCAGCAGGGGATCAAATACTTTTTTTCCCTCACTGTATGTCATTCATATTTTGTATGAAATACTTTATGTGAATCATAGATGTACCAGCTCCCCACATATTTCCTTTTAAAAGCTCCTTGTTTGTGCGATAAACGGCATGAAGAAACTCTAACTGTGGACTGACCATGGGTCAGCATGGGTCACCCCAGGAGACAGATGTATTGACATGCCATTCTCTTTACTGTCTGCTACGCTTTAAAAGATACGGAGAGAAAATAACAATAACAGCTCGGCTCCAGTCGAGAACAAATAATGATTCAGGAAACTGTCTTCTATTAAATGGAGCATGGAACTGAAATGCTGTGGAGAATGTCTCTCTCTCTCTCTCTCTCTGAGAGGTGCTGACACACACACACGCACGCATAGACACACACAGAGACACAGACACAGACACACACATGCACACACACACACGCACACACACACACACACTCTAGAACTAAACGAGAGGCTTTGACCCCAGTCAGAGATAATTACAAGAGCCACTTGATAATTAGCAACCCAACAGCAACCTCACAGAAACACCATTCAGTTACAAAACACATGGTGATTAAAGCAGTAACTGTTGTTGGAATCATTATGTAGTTTACAGCCTCCCGTTTCCCATCTACCACACTCACACACACACACACACACACACACACACACACACACACCATGTATTTAGAGGACTGAATGCTATACAGAACTAGCTGAAGGAATTCCATTTTTGCCCACACCAGTGGTTCACAAAAGTCATTACAATACATCATAAGTACTTCGTATTGATATTAATAATGCCCAGGATTATTCCACTGTATGTGTATGCAGATGTCTGTGAGCAATGACTCTTATCAGCAAGCCTCTGATCATAAAATATAGTTCATTACCTGCAGAAGATACGCTTCACTGGGTTTTATCTATCAGGAAAGGCCCTCCATATTCCATAATCGTATTTCACATCCCATTGACAGATATCTTCTCTTCTCAATGCAGGGTTTGAGTCTCACATACACAAACACACTCACACGTGCGTGCGCGCGCGCACACACCCACACACACACAGAGGCGTGCAAGCACACGCACACGCACACACACACACACTCACTGACTTCACAATGAGTCATGGTGCAGCCTGTTCTGTACTATGAGATGACACACACACTAAACCTATTATCTGTCATCAGCCAGTGACATTGCTGCTGCTTCTACAAAAACCAATTGGTTGTGGTGCAGATTCTCTTCTTCTCACACGTGTGCGTTCTTTGTTTTCTTTTCAGCCAAATTGAATGTTGATTCAATCAGAAAAACCCACTGCAGCTCCCAAAAGCCCCTGATTGATGTTACCAGACTGACGTTTTTCTTGAAGTGTGACAATTACAATAAATAAGTTATTCTTATAGCATAATAGTCTTCTAAAATGCTGTTTTGTACGGTGCCCACTCAAAAATTTAGTTCACTACAATAAATATTCTGTCCCTGGTAGACCTATTGGGTCGGTTTCCCAGACGCAGAGTAGTCTTGGACTAAAAACAAATATTATAATGGAGAATCTCTATTGAGAATATTTTTTTAGTCCTGCTCTGGACTAATCTGTGTCTGGTAAACAGACCCATTATGCCCTAGAGGCAATCTAATCCTGGAATTATTATTAACTGGAAACTGTCTGACATATTGCTGTTATTAATCACTGAGATTATAATCTGGAGACTGGACTAGAGTAATGTTTTAGTCTGCCGCAGGGTCAATGCTAACAGTTGGACACAAAAATAATGCGATTTACAATCGTTTCAATGCTCATTTCAATCTAAAATCCTTAGTCTCTACATCCATTTTTGAATTGATAGATTCATGATATATACCCATTGGTTCTTTAAGAATATTGTATAAATGCTTCATGAGGTTAGTTCATCTCTTGTACCCCAGCAGATCAAACCCAAAAGCTTGTTTTACTCCAATGTTTGTAAACAATGTAAATGTAAACAAATACTGCTTTAGCCTCAAAACAATCATTTTTATATCATGGATGGTCAGTCCTTGCATCCATAGCTCTGTCTATGAATCGGTTACATTTCTCAAGGCCCATATGCCTCAGCTTTTTACGAAACAGAGGCGGGGAATCCACTTTGTAACTGTTACAATGAAGGACTCTAGCCTTAACTGTGGCAGAATCAGAACAAAATGCCTAAAATTGAAGCATGAGAAAATAAAGGCAACCACATTTATCTGCAGCTGACATCTGACTGTGAACACCCTCGTCTTAATTTTTGTCAGCTCACAATATGTGTATTTTTCAATACATCACGGTATTAGTTTTAAATACTTATGACACATTTGTATGTTTAATGATCTAACAAATTCCACGCCATTGATAGGAGCGCATTAGGTATCCTAATTCTACATACAACATGTTCACCAGGGCTGTAATCATTAGTAATACACGTTTTGCAACGGAAACGACTGTTTCTATTGGTCTAATTCAGGTAGGTCCCTCAACGTTTCGTTTGGTTCCTAGTGAATACACCCCATGTTACAGAAAATGGTAGGAACATTTCTGCTCGATTGCGTGTTTCATTTCGGACAATAATACAGCGTAAGGCCGGAAACATTAGACAGCGGAAAAGACGCAAACTAGAAATTCTCAAAGTAGGCTATTTCTGAAATAACTAGCTAGCAGTCATGTCGAGCAAAGATATATTTCAGACACAGTTATCCCACATTATGGGGTTATTAGTTGAATCAACAGTTAGGGAGATGGGGCGACTCCTCGACGTGTGTGCTGCTGTTTTGGAGAATAAAGACAACCGTTTACTGAAGAGAGAAATGGAGCGTGTGAATACAACCAACAAAGTGAGTGAAGTTCATCATCAAACCAATAATCCGTGATCAAACCATATAGATAAATAGAGGACTCATTTGTATAGCTCAGCTGGTAGAGCACGGCGCTTGTAACGCCAAGGTAGTGGGTTCGATCCCCGGGACCACCCATACGTAAAAATGTATGCACACATGACTGTAAGTCGCTTTGGATAAAAGCGTCTGCTAAATGGCATATTATATTATTATATTATATATATGTGCTATTATAGGTTCTGTGACAGCATGGACAGCGCCATTGAAGAGACAACCCATAGGAATCCCCACGCAGTTGACTACTTTAAAATGGCGGAAGCCCTCAATGTCGCTGCCCATGCTAAATCGGGCTTTTGGCTACTAGAGGCCTCTATCATTCTCTATGAATCAAAATTTATTGAAAATTTGCTAGCTAACTTTAGCCTAGAACAGGGTTCTCCAACCTTGTTCCTGGGGCGCTACCATCCTGTGGGTTTTCGCTCCAACCATAATCTAGCGCACCGGATTCTCAGTTGAGTTACAACTGGGGTTGAAACGAAAACCTAGTGCCCTGGCATAGAATATATATATATATTTTTTAGATGTTCTAGAAACCAGGCGGTCAGTGAGTGTTTATTTTGAATGGTCAGTGACGGTATCAGTAATTCAGGTAGTTCTTCTTATTCATCTTTCAGATGAAGTTTGCGTCATTCATGGAAGTGTTGAGTAAAAGCTCGATGGAGAAAATATCGTTACTCATGACCGTGGACGAGATGGAGGTGAGAGCGGTGGAGAACACTGGTGGAGAAGGAGCGAGCGGTGGAGAAGAAGTAAACTCGTTTAACCCAGAAGTAAAATCTCGTGTAATTATTATCTGTCCGGGAGATGTTAGAGAAGCAGTTGCGACACAAAAAGGAGCAGTAAAGGGTGAGTGATTTGTGGTTGTTTTTACATGGATTATAAATGTATTGTTGTTGGATGTTCCCATAGAGAGAGTTAGAGGATGCAACATTGTATCTGTCCCATTAGTGTGTGTGAGAGCATGGGAAGCACATAGAGAATTATAGAGATATCGCTTTGCCTTCAGAAAGTATTCGCACTCCTTGACTTTATCCACATTTTATTGTTACAGCCTGAATTTAAAGATGCACTATGCAGAAACCGCTCCGCCATTTACTGTTTGTTAAAATTCGAATTGTTCGCTTAATTTCAGTTTGTGACAAAACAAGCAAGTATATTGTAGAGAATCATTGTACCATCTAAAATATTGTATATTCCGAAAGTATAAGACACAAAAAACAGAACATAAGAATGGGAAGCATAGAAATAGTGCACAAAGAACAGATCTACCGCTTCTTAGATGTGCTTTAAATGAGTGACTGATCTATACTGAACAAAAATATAAACATATCATTTAAAGTGTTGGTCCCATGTTTCATGAGCTAAAATAAAAGATCCCAGACATTTTCCATACGCACAAAACGCTTATTTCCTGTAGCACTAACTCCAAAAACTTTTGGGACACTGTAAAGTCCATGGAGAATAAGAGCACTTCCTCCCAGCTGCCCACTGCACTGAGGCTAGGAAACACTATCACCACCGATAAATCTACAATAATCGAGAATTTCAACAAGCATTTTGCTACGGCTGGCCATGCTTTCCACCTGGCTACCACTACCCCGGCCACCACTACCCCGGCCACCAACTCTGCACCCTCCACTGCAACTTGCCCATGCCCCCCCCCCCCCCGCTTCTCCTTCACACAAATTCAGACAGCTGATGTTCTGAAAGAGCTGTATATGTGCTTTCTTGAGCAGGGGGACCTTGCGGGCGCTGCAGGATTTCAGTCTTTCATGGCGTAGTGTGTTACCAATTGTTTTCTTGGTGACTATGGTCCCAGCTGCCTTGAGATCATTGACAAGATCCTCCTGTGTAGTTCTGGGCTGATTCCTCACCGTTCTCATGATCATTGCAACTCCACGAGGTGAGATCTTGCATGGAGGCCCAGGCCGAGGGAGATTGACAGTTATTTTGTGTTTCTTCCATTTGCGAATAATCACACCAACTGTTGTCACGTTCTCACCAAGCTGCTTGGCGATGGTCTTGTAGCCCATTCCATCCTTGTGTAGTTCTACAATCTTGTCCCTGACATCCTTGGAGAGCTCTTTGGTCTTGGCCATGGTGGAGAGTTTGGAATCTGATTGATTGATTGCTTCTGTGGACAGGTGCTCCTAATCTCAGTTGTTACCTGTATAAAAGACACCTGGGAGCCAGAAATCTTTCTGATTGAGAGGGGGTCAAATACTTATTTCCCTAATTTAAAATGCAAATCAATTTATAACAATTTTGACATGTTTTTCTGGATTTTGTTGTTGTTATTCTGTCTCTCACTGTTCAAATAAACCTACCATTAAAATTATAGACTGATCATTTGTTTGTCAGTAGGCAAACGTACAAAATCAGCAGGGGATCAAATACTTTTTTTCCTCACTGTAACAGCCCGCTTGGAGTTTGCCAAAAGGCACCTAAAGGACTCTCAGACTATGAGAAACAAGGTTCTCTAGTCTGATGAAACCAAGATTGAACTCTTTGACCTGAATGCCAAGCGTCACGTCTGGAGGAAACCTGGCACCATCCCTACGGTGAAGCATGGTGGTGGTAGCATCATGCTGTGGGGATGTTTTTCAGCGGCAGGGACTGGGAGACTAGTCAGGATCTAGGGAAAGATGAACAGTGCAAAATACAGAGATCCTTGATGAAAACCTGCTCCAGAGCGCTCAGGACTTCAGACTGGAGCGAAGGTTCAACTTCCAACAGGACAACGACCCTAAGCACACAGCAAAGACAACACAGGAGTGGCTTCGGGAAAAGTCTCAATGTCCTTGAGCGGCCCAGCCAGAGCCCAGACTTGAACCCAATCGAATATCTCTGGAAAGACCTGAAAATAGCTGTGCAGCGACGCTCCCCATCCCACCTGACAGAGCTTGAGAGGATCTGCAGAGAAGAATGGGAGAAACTCCCCAAATACAGGTGTGCCAAGCTTGTATCGTCATACCCAAGAAGACTCGAGGCTGTACTGTAATCGCTGCCAATGGTGCTTCAACAAAGTACTGAGTAAATGGTCTGAATACTTATGTAAATGTGATATTTCATTATTTATTTTTTATAAATTTGCAAACAATTCTAAACCTTGTTTTTACTTTGTCATTATCGGATATTGTGTGTAGATTGTTGAGGGGGGGGAAACAATTGTAATCCATTTTAGAATAAGGCTGTAACGTAACAAAATATGGAAAAAGAGAAGGGGTCTGAATACTTCCAGAATGCACTGTAATTGACAGTGTAAAGAAGGAAGCCGGTGCAGAATACAAATATTAAAAAACATGCATCCTGTTTGCAACAAGGCACTAAAGTAATACAGCAAAAAATGTGGCAAAGCAATTTACTTTTTGTCATGAATACAAAGTGATATGCGGTGGTGTAAAAATACTGGAAAGTACTACTTAAGTCGTTTTTTTGGTCCAATTCACACACTTACCAATAGAACATCCCTGGTCATTCCTACTGCCTCACTAAACACACATGCTTTGTTTGTAAATGATCTTGGAGTGTGCCTCTGGCTATCCATCAATTGAAAAAATAACTATTGGGTACTTTTTCCATCACTGGTGATATGTATGGGGCAAATAAAACACATTACTGAGTTCCACACTTTTCAAGCATAGTAGTGGCTGCATCGTGTTTTATGTATGCTTGTAATCGTTAAGGACTGGGGAGTTTCAAGATGAAAAATAAAATAAAAAAACAATGGAGCTAAGCACAGAAAATTCTAGAGGAAAACCTGGTTGTCTGCTTTCCACCAGACACTTGGAGACAAATTCATATTTTAGCAGGACAATAACCTAAAACACAAGGCCAAATATACACTGGAGTTGCTTACCAAGAAGACTGAATATTCCTTAGTGGCAGAGTTACAATTCTGACTTAAATCTGCTTGAAAATCTATGGCAGGAAGTTACCGTGGTAACGCTACTCGAGTCATGTTTGTGCCTCTGCGATTGAGTGACTAGTAGCCGCGTTGTCTCTTCTGTAGCAGTTGAAACTTAAACATTGAAAAACAACCTAGCCAGGCAGTGTTATAGCATGAGGTGGAATAGGCTATAGGATTTGTAGTTTTTTTTGACTTTGCGATTTTTAATTGACCAGCTATGAACCAAAACGGCAAATACTTTTAAAAACAGCTACTGCAGCATTTATTTTGCTATAAATGTGGTCATATTTGACTATTTTTATTCACAAATACGAGTGAAATGCTTGCACTGTGAAGCCCTAAGCCACCCGCCAACGTGGCTGGTGAAATGGACATCTTAGCCGCATTGCCAAAATCTACCCGCATTTGGCGGGTGTTTAATTTTAGACCCTGTCAAGCAATAATCACCAACCAATTTGACAGAGCTTGAAGAGTTTTGGAAAAGATTATGGGCAAATGTTGCACAGTCCAGCTGTGCAAAGCTCTTAGAGGCTTACCCAGAAAGACTCACAGCTGTAGTCACTGCCAAAGGAGATTTCTAACATGTATTGACTCTTATGTAAATTAGATTTCTGTATTTCATTTAAAATACATTTTGCAAAAAAAATTGCAACATTTCCTCCAAACATGTTTTCACTTTGCCATTATGGGGTACTGGATGTAGGTGGTTGAGAAATAATCAATTTTGAATTCAGGCTGTAACAAAACAAAATGTGGAATAAGTCAAGGGCAGGGCTGCCCAACCCTCTTCCTGGAGAGCTACCGTCCTGTGGGTTTTCAGTCCAACCCTAATTTAACACACCTCATTCTACATATTAGCTGCTCAACAAGACCTTAACTAGCTGAATCAGATATGCTAAATTAGGGTTGGACTGAAAACCTACAGGACAGTAGATCTCCAGGAAGAGGGTTGGGCAGCCCTGGTCAAGGGGTTTGAATAGTTTCTGGAGGCCGTGTATATGGCCCATTATGGCGTTTGTGAGCGGCAGCGCCATTCAGGCAATTTTCATTTTGAAGTTAATTTTCTTCTACTTGTATGAGTTGGCAAACAAATTGAAAGGGTGCATACTAGGCTTGGGCGGTATACTGTATACCGGGGTATTTTGAAATGGCCACGGGTAGATTTTATTTTAGTACAGTTAACTATTTCTTTGAAGTTTCTCAATACATTTCAATATGTGTAGCTACCTGCAGTCAACTTGTGCAATAGGTTAGGAGATAATGCAGATTGTGTTCATTTCATCTGCTACATTATTTGACATTATGAAGCTTACCGTAGTTCCCCCAGAACAGTTGAGCCAGTCACGTGTTTGTTTGTAAACGGCACAACAAGAGAAAGTGAGAGCAGGTGAGTCCAGCTGTGTGTTTGGTTTAACTTGCTAGTTATCTCAGTAAGTGGCTGAATTAAGATGGGGCCTCATATAGCGTTAGCTTTCTACCGTGTTTGAGAAGTCAAAGCTTTTTGGATGAGTTATCTGTCCAGCTGCCACTGCAGCTTGATTTCCATTTTTTTTATCCCCTCTGTTCTCGGCCCACTCAGTCTGCTCCTCCCCTATCTTCTCCGAGCAGAGCAGGCAGGCCCGTTGTCGTAGCGACTCGACACCGCATGTACACATGTTGCTCCAGAGCTGGGTGCGGTTCTTCCTTCAGACAAGCATGCGTCAACTTTGTTCACTTGCACAATGTCTCTCGTTCACATTTGCTTGTAAATGTCCAAACTCAGCAAAGATGACATTCAGTAGCTACTATCTATACTTGTATAACTTTATGAGCTGGGTTACCTGTCTTTGCAATTTAGTTTATTTTAGTTTGCTCGTTAGAATATTTAACTAGCAACCTCTATGGAAATTCGCTATTACTTGTGCTAATTTTGTTAGCATTCTGGTTAGACGCCCAATGGGCATTTTTGCGTATTTAGCGCCCCCTTGTGTGCTAATACCGTAAATACCGGGATGAGGGAAGGACAGTGTGCCAATATGAAAATCTGGATACCGCCCAACCCCAGTGCATCCTGCCACCTGGAGTTTTTTTTTTTTTTTGAACAGGTATAAATAAAGTCAAAGGTTGGCGATTTACTGCAACCTACAGTTATGGAATGTTTGCTCACAAGTATAACTAATTGGCTGATTCCTCCTGATGACCCAAATGGAATCGTGATCCTTCCTTAACCCACAGGAAGTCCCACCCAGTTGACTACTTTGAAATGGTGGAAGCCCTAAATGGCAGAGTCCATGCTAAAACGGGTTTTATCCATCTAGAGTCCTCTATATAACTCTATGGATGTTCCAAGTACAGTTGAAACAGAAAATGTCCCATTCCTGTGTAACATCAATTATATTACAACATTGTGTACATCTTTGTTGTTGTTGCTACAGTTAAATCACTTGTGATCGACCGGCTCGATTCGGTCTTATGTAGCAAAGTTTTTTTTGTTTTTTTTGTTTTTTATTTTACATTGGATAAAAGTAGAGACTCAGAGCTAGAAAATGGTATATCATACACTTCAGTTGCAGGACAATGAGACACTAATCCTGCTTTGAAGGTTGATAAACTTTTGAGAAAATGGTCTTTGAATGTTTTGGCAAACATACTGGAGAGCTCTTCTTTGTCTACACCCATTCAGCATCGTTCACACCCTCTTAAGCCTTAGCCCCACCCATCTCTTTAAGGATTTACATGTGAGGCCATGTGCTAAACAGAGTGAGTACGGTAGTGAACTAAACAACCAAAGATTTCAAGACTAAAGGCTGGTTTATACTACGTCTATCGACAGTTGTCGCAGTGACATCATGAACATTCTATTGTCATCCGACAAACTTGTCGTTATGAAAAAGTATAAACACAAAAACTACAGGCTGCATGGTGGTCCAAAATAGCATATCTAGTGTATTTTAACACCAATAAACCACCCGTTTTAAAAATGAATTTAGTATATGTCAATCTAGCAAACCAGGCAACTAAAAGCAACATTCTAAACAATGTTTTGGTTAGTTTCTAGCTGTTAGCTAGCTAGTTAATGTTACGTTAGCTGGCTAGCTAGTTCAAAAAATGACCATGTAGCTGACAATGTCTTCACTTTAGCTCATTTGTCTTAATTATTACAGGAAAATAAACTCACAACATGATCATTATTGGTTGTGTGTGACACTAAATAAAAGCAGGGCATTCTACTCGAGAATTTTAAAACTTGGACACTCGTTGGCCTAACGTTATATCCTAATTTGACTTTGGTGCAGGTCATGTTCTTCACATTACCATCTCTGGTAAACACACACTATATCAAATAAAATAAAAGTTTATTTGTCACATGCACAGGATACAGAAGGTGTAGTGAAATGGTTACTTGCATAGTGGAGTCTTTTGTTTAGACCTGTAGATAGCTCGCTAAACAATGAACCACAATCCCAACTCATAACGTTACTACACTGCATGAATCTGCAGGTAGCTAAACAACCAGGTTCAATGTTAGCTAGCTAGCTAACATTAGGCTGTAACTAGCAATGCAAATGGCTCTGAGATACAAATAATATTACTACACCGATCATACACGTAACATTAACTAGCGAGCCAGCCAGCTAACTTTAGCTAGCTAGCTAACAGTACGCTTTAACTTGAAATAAAAAATACTTTCTGACAAAATGTAAACGTATATCTGAAAATGTAGCTAGCTAGACTATCTTACCCGTATACATGGATGGACGCTTCTCCCTCTCTGTCACGGATGACATGGTTGCCCTTAGTTTGAAGATGTAATCCAGGACAGGTGTTTTATACAACAGCCTTCTGTGTGTTCTCTTTTATACTCCCTCTATATATTTGCAATCAAACGCCAGAATTCTCTCCATCTCCTTAGCTATCATACTCTAATTCCACTGATTTCAAAACTCGGTCCTCCAGAATGTGGAGAGCAACACTCCAGTTCTACTACGTGATATCTTTCAAAAAAGCAGCGTTAGAAAGGATTAACTACACATACTGACCAGCTCATGTTATAGACAGAAGCCTGCTACATGGCAGACCAATCGAAACTCATCTCTCGGCATGTCCAGCCCATCCATTATCTCAGCCAATCATGGCTAGCGGGAAGGTTCCTGTCTTTTTCCGTGGCTAAACCAACTAGGCTCGTAATTTAACAATTGTATTCGTATTTACAGATGACTTACAAGTTTGTTATTAAGGCACATGAAAGTTCACATGTTCCAGAAGGCATTTCTGCCAAAAAACGCATTTTGATCAACAACAACAAAAAAGTTTACTTTCAAACGCCTCTCCTGTGGAGTAGCGGCGTGCGGCATACGCCTAGTTTCCTGAAACGAATCACATTTATCTCTCCTGGTTTCTTCTGCATGTGCACAGCAACCACCACAATGACCCTCTCTGTTACAGATGAGGGATCTTCTGAGTCTGACAGTCAGGAGGAAGACCCTGGCCTTGCACCCCTGCCCTCACCTTCATCAGACGAGGAATGGCTCCCCGATGCTGACCTTGACCCTCAGGCGCCATCTGCATCTAGGTTGAAGATACCCAGGTTAGGAAAAGCTAATAATTCCATACGGAAAGCTTTTGAAAATTAAACAGATTCAGCGCTGTTGCTAACTAGCATAGCTCCCCTTTTTTGTTTAGAATTCTTCCTCATTTATGCAAGGAGTTATGGGATATTAGAATCCTCTTGTCTTAACCTTTTCTCTTCAACCTAGATCTGCATCAGACCCAGACAAACAAGACGCAGGTAGGGATGGGGAAGATCCAGAGGTCCAGTGTGGGGATTCTGCAGACGCCGCCCACCAGGGGCCCCTCATCTGTTCCCATTGTGGAAAATGTTTCAAGGAGAAATGGTATCTGACGAGACACATTCAGTCCCATACAAAGTCCTACAGATGCTCTCATTGTGGGAAAGGTTTTAATCTGGCTAAACAGCTTGCGAAACATTCAATTAAACACCTAGAGAACACCTTCAGCTGTACCGATTGCGATGCAGTGTTTCGCCAGAAATGCACTTTGCAGTCTCACAAAAAACGTCACAAAACGGAGAAAACGGTCACATGCGCGGTTTGTGAAAAAAGGTTTGTAGGGGAAAGGCACAAGTGCATTGTAAAAAGGAGGACATTCAGCTGCTCTTCCTGCCCAAAGGTCTTAAAGACCAGAGAAGGATTGTCTTATCACCAGGGAACACACTCCGGGGAGAGGAAGTATTGCTGTGAAACATGTGGCAAAACATTTTTCACCGCAGTGTCCTTAAAAACCCATATGATGACTCATAAAGAAAAGGATCGTAGCTGTACTGTGTGTGGCCAACCTTTCAACAATGGACATGCTCTCAGAAAGCACATGGTAGCCAGCCATCCTGGAGAAACGCCGGAGAAACGCTTCGTCTGCGACGTGTGCGGCAAATGTTTCGCCAAGAGAGACCATCTGTATAAACACATGAGGAGACACAAGGAAGAAAAACCTTTTTCTTGCGACGTTTGCGGCAAGAAGTTTCATTCTTCGGGTAATTGCAAAAGACACGAGATAACGCACACGGGTGAGAAATTGTATCACTGTGACCTTTGTGGTAAAAGTTTCACCCAGTCCGGAACCCTGACCATACATAAACTAAACACGCACACAGACGGTGAAGAAAAGCCTTCTTTCAAGTGCGAGATTTGTGGGGAAGTTTTTCCAAGACGTTACACCCTAAAAAATCACATGGTCACTCACACAGGGAAGAAACCGTGTCATTGTAGCGTTTGTGGGAAAGGTTTCTTTAGCAATCCTACCCTTAAAGCTCACATGCTCATTCACACCGGGGAGAAACCGTTCGAGTGTGATCAATGTAGGAAAAGGTTCACCCAGTCAAGTCATCTAAAATATCACGAGCGCCATGTGCACGCCGGTGTCAAACCATTCGTGTGCGACATCTGTGGGAAGGCCTATGCAAATAGACAGAATCTGAAACTCCACAAGTGCAGTGCTACTGCTAAACAGTAGCGCCACAACTAGGTAATTGGCACCCTGTCAATGACCAATATATTTTTGAATGGACCCATTCCATGCTCCTCCACGTCAGGGGGAAAATACAAAGTTTCCATCCAACCTTTAAATGGCAGTAAAGTGCACGTTGGACAAAGAAAATGTCACGACAGGCCTGGTGGAAACATCAAATCTGTCGGAACAAAACACAATACGCTCCACAGCGTCATCTTTTTGTTGTCTGTAAAAATATTTATGCGGGAAATTGTGGTGGAAATATATAATAACCATCATATCGAAGTAAAACTTGGGAGTCATGCACTATGTCGTGTGGTCCTCCAACTACGACTCGGAGGGGGGGGGGAAGAGTGCAGTTTTATTAGACTACAGATGAAATAAGTTATGATGAACTTCACAGGGGTGGTGAAAGTGCTGAGGTGATGAGCTTGATGCTCCTTTCCAATAAATACCGAGGGTCTTATTCTGGTGACATGTTGATCGATCTTTGGCTGCCGTTTTGACAAATAAAAATGATCTCTCTCTTTTTTTTTTGTTTTTCGCATAATCACCTGACCTCATAGGTAGGCTATACAGGGAGGGTATGCAGCCTCACTGTATCTACGAGGGTGGGCACATTCGCTATAGAACGCAACAGTTTTCTTGACAACCATCAGCAGAGTTGAAAATAAGATGGAAACCCATTTTAACTTTTTTTTATTTGGGGAACGTGGGAATTTAACCACCAAGTTAATGTGTGCTCTGTCGTCACGCACATCATTGTCAATTGGATGGAAACCCATCCCTGGTGGGAAAAATATGCAGATTATTTTTTTTATGCAGATTTTTTTAGATTATTCTGTCTCCAATTGGATGGAAACCTAGCTACTTTAAGGAAAATAATCTGTGTAGAAAATGATCTGTGTTTTGTATGTTGTGACTGTACTGTCCATTCTGTGTCCTAGCACCAGACAGACCGTTTATCAGTGGCTAGCGCTTTATCACGATGTCCTTGTGAATGTATGGATCCTGCTGATTTCTAATTTGGGACCTTCATATCGTAGGAGTCTCTTTTTATTGATTGTCTAGTCGTTATATATCAATATATCAGCTCATTTTCCAATGTCATCCGGATGCCAGTTCGTTATGAATTTAACTCCTTTCTGAGGTGAATGTCTGAGCACATTTTTTTTTTTTTTACCTTATCTTTTGCTTTGATATCTAGATGAGATCAATGTTTTTCTGCTTTTTTTTTTATTTTTGTTGTTGACACTCATAACAGAGAAATGAGATGACAGAATTTGTGATTTTACCCCAGCATAGTTGCTTCGGCTTTAAATGCAAATATTCTGTATAAAGAAATTTAAAAAAACAAATTAGCCTCTGTGCATTTATCCTTGTCTGTCTCTTCTCCAAGCCAATCTGTATTAAGATCTCTATCAGCACAATGGGATCTCTGGCAGCATATTATTTTACATTTTAGTCATTTAGCAGACTCTTATCCAGGGTGACTGACAGTGCATTCATCTTAATATAGCTAGATGGGACAACCACATCTCAGTCATAAACCACATTAGCATCCACAGTTTATTTTACAGTTGAAGTCGGAAGTTTACATACACTTAGGTTGGAGTCATTCAAACTCGTTTTTCAACCACTCCACAAATTTCTTGTTAACAAACTATTGTTTTGGCAAGTCGGTTAGGACATCTACTTTGTGCATGACACAAGTAATTTTCCCAACAATTGTTTACAGACAGATTATTTCACTTATAATTCTCTGTATCACAATTCCAGTGGGTCAGAAGTTTACATACACTAAGTTGACTGTGCCTTTAAACAGCTTGGAAAATTCCAGGAAATGATGTCATGGCTTTAGAAACTTCTGATAGGCTAATTGACATCATTTGAGTCAATTGGAGGTGTACTTGTGGTTGTATTTCAAGGCCTACCTTCAAACTCAGTGCCTCTTTTCTTGACATCATGGGAAAATCAAAAGAAATCAGCCAAGACCTCAGAAAAAATGGTAGACCTCGACTAGTCTGGTTCATCCTTGGGAGCAATTTCCAAACGCCTGAAGGTACCACGTTCATCTGTACAAACAATAGTACGCAAGTATAAACACCATAGGACCACGCAGCCGTCATACTGCTCAGGAAGGAGACGCGTTCTGTCTCCTAGAGATGAACGTACTTTGGTGCGAAAAGTGCAAATCAATCCCAGAACAACAGCAAAGGACCTTGAAGATGCTGGAGGAAACGGGTACAAAAGTATCTATATCCACAGTAAAACGAGTCCTATATCGACATAACCTGAAAGGCCGCTCAGCAAGGAAGCAGCCACTGCTCCAAAACCGCCATAAACAAGCCTGACTACGGTTTGCACCTGCACATGGGGACAAAGATCGTACTTTTACAGCCTCGAGTCTTCTTGGGTATGATGCTACAAGCTTGGCACACCTGTATTTGGGGAGTTTCTCCCATTCTTCTCTGCAGATCCTCTCAAGCTCTGTCAGGTTGGATGGGGAGCGTCGCTGCACAGCTATTTTCAGGTCTCTCCAGAGATGTTCGATCGGGTTCAAGTCCGGGCTCTGGCTGGGCCACTCAAGGACATTGAGACTTGTCCCGAAGCTACTCCTGCATTGTCTTGGCTGTGTGCTTAGGGTTGTTGTCCTGTTGGAAGGTGAACCTTTGCGCCAGTCTGAGGTCCTGAGTGCTCTGGAGCAGGTTTTCATCAAGGTTGTCTCTGTACTTTGCTCTGTTCATCTTTCCCTCAATCCTGACTAGTCTCCCAGTCCCTGCTGCTGAAAAACATCCCCACAGCATGATACTACCACCACCATGCTTCACCGTAGGGATGGCATTGGCCAGGTGATGAGCGGTACCTGGTTTCCTCCAGACGTAACGCTTGGCATTCAGGCCAAAGAGTTCAATCGATGTTTCATCAGACCAGAGAATCTTGTTTCTTAAGAGTTCAATCGATGTTTCATCAGACCAGAGAATCTTGTTTCTTATGGTCTGAGAGTCCTTTAGGTGCCTTTTGGCAAACTCCAAGCGGGCTGTCATGTAACTTTTACTGATGAGTGACTTCCGTCTGGCCACTATACCATAAAGGCCTGATTGGTGGAGTGCTGCAGAGATGGTTGTCCTTCTGGAAGGTTCTCCCATCTGGAGCTCTGTCAGAGTGACCATCGGGCTCTTGGTCACCTCCCTGACCAAGGCCCGTCTCCCCCGATTGCTCAGTTTGGCTGGGCGGCCAGCTCTAGGAAGAGTCTTGGTGGTTCCAAACTTCTTCCATTTAAGAATGATGGAGGCCACTGTGTTCTTGGGGAACTTCAATGCTGCAGAAATGTTTTTGTACCCTTCCCCAGATCTGTGCCTCGACACAATCCTGTCTCGGAGCTCTACGGACAATTCCTTCGACCTCATGGCTTGGTTTTTGCTCTGACACGCACTGTCAACTGTGGGACCTTATATAGACAGGTGTGTGCCTTTCCAAATCATGTCCAATCAATTGAATTTACCACAGGTGGACTCCAATCAAGTTGTAGAAACAGCTCAAGGATGATCAATGGAAACAAGATGCTCCAGAGCTCCATTTCGAGTCTCATAGCAAAGGGTCTGAATACTTATTTAAATAAGGTATTTCTGTTTGCAAACATTTCTAAAAACCTGTTTCGCTTTGTCATTATGGGGTATTGTGTGTAGATTGATGAGGGAAAACAATTAATTTAATCAATTTTAGAATAAGTGTGACGAGTACTGAGGATACGAAGAGGCAGGACGCAGACGTCAACAATGTAAAGGTTTGCTTAACACTGAGCAAGAGAACAACAACAGAGCGAGCACACGACACGACACTAACAATCATACACAACACAACCCTGAACAGCTATATAGTGGTGGTGATGAGATTGAGGTTCAGGTGCGCTGGAGGTGATTTAGGGTGCGTTGGGTATCCATTCCGGTGTTGCCGAGGGTGGTGCGCTCAGACCGGTGGCTCAGTAGACCGGCGAATCAGAGCGCTGGAGGGGAGCAAGGGGAGGAGACGTGACAATGAGGCTGTAACGTAACAAATGTGGAAAAAAGGGGAAGGGGTCTGAATACTTTCCGAATGCGCTGTATTCTTAAGATCGCAATAATTATTATTTTGATGGAAAACCTAATTTTGCTTCTTAGCCTACGTCGTACAATTACTTTGATAATTCCTTAATTCGCTCCATAACATTATGGAAAAAGGGTTTATTGGATAAATGTGGTAACTCCTCTCTTGCTGTGGAAATAAAGATTTGGACTAGTTTTCAGGCCCTGTGGACTGTTTTTGAGGGGGTCATTGGGCTAGAAATGTTAGCTAAACCTGGCAACCCTGCTCAAATCCAAGACTTGAGAGACAGCAGTTTGAGAAATTAAGAGTGAAAACTTGACAAGGACAAGTGACTATTGCTGGTGGACAATTGAATGCATTTAAATGACTTTTTTTTACACGTTTGAATGACATTTCTTTGATTACAGTTATGTGCTGTTTTAAGACATTTTTTATTTTTGATCTGTGACAATGATGTTCTGCTCGCTCAGTCACACTTGCAAGCTCTCAAGGTTAATATGCGCTCTTGACTGGCCTGTGCACTCGCAGGACCCATCCTCTGCTCGTTCAACCATTTTCTTCTCTCTTGACTCAGTGTTTGCAATGTTTCATCTTGCTCATGCACGCCAGCTAGTGCTCGTTCAACTTCTGAAACGGATTTCGGATTTGACACCATATTAAATCAAATCGAATTTTATTGGTCACATACACATTTAGCACATGTTATTGCGGGTGTAGCGAAATGCTTGTGTTCCTAGCTCCAACAGTGCAGTAGTATCTAACAATAAATACATCTAAAAGTTAAAGAATGAAATATATAAATATTGGGACGAGCAATGTCGGAGTGGCATTAACTAAAATACAGTGTATACATATTAGATGAGTAAAACAATATGTAAACATTAGTAAAGTGACCAGTGATTCCATGTCTATGTACATAGGGCAGCAGCCTCTAAGGTGAAGGGTTGAGTAACCAGGTGGGAGTGATGGCTAGTTAACAGTCTGATGGCCTTGAGATTAAAAAACAGATTCTGTCTCTCGGTGCCAGCTTTGATACACCTGTACTGACCTCACCTTCTGGATGATGGCGGGGTGAACAGGCCGTGGCTCGGGTGGTTGATGTCCTTGATGATTTTTTGGGCCTTCCTGTGACATCGGGTGCTGTAGGGCAGGCAGTGTGCGCCCGGTGATGCGTTGGGCAGACCGCACCACCCTCTGGAGAGCCCTGCGGTGCAGTTGCCGTACCAGGCAGTGATACAGCCCGACAGGATGCTCTCAATTGTGCATCTGTAAAAGTTTGTGAGGGTCTTAGAGGCCAATCTGAATTTCTTCAGCCTCCTGAGGTTGAAGAGGTGCTGTTGCGCCTTCTTCACCACACTGTCTGTGTGGGTGGACCATTTCAGATTGTCAGTGATGTGTACGCCGCGGAACATGAAACTTTTCACCTTCTCCACTGTGGTCCCGTCGATGTGGATGGGGGCGTGTTCTCTCTGCTGTCTCCTGAATTCCACGATCAGCTCCTTCGTTTTGTTGAGTGAGAGGTTATTTTCCTGGCACCACTCCGCCAGGGCACTCACCATCTCCCTGTAGGCTGTCTCGTCATTGTTGGTATTCAAGCCTACTACTGTTGTGTCGTCTGCAAACTTGATGATTGAGTTGGAGGCGTGCGTGGCCACGCAGTCATGGGTGAACAGGGAGTACAGGAGTGGGCTGAGCATGCACCCTTGTGGAGCCCCAGTGTTGAGGATCAGAGAACTGGAGGTGTTGTTTCCTATCCTTGACTAGTCTCTCAAAGCACTTCATGATGACAGAGGTGAGTGCTACGGGGCGATAGTCATTTAAGTTCAGTTACCTTTGCTTTCTTGGGTACAGGAACAATGGTGGCCATCTTGAAGCATGTGGGGACAGCAGACTGGGATAGGGAGAGATTGAATATGTCCGTAAACACACCAGCCAGCTGGTCTGCGGATGCTCTGAGGACGCGGCTAGGGATGCCGTCTGGGCTGGCAGCCTTGCGAGGGTTAACACGCTTAAATGTCTTACTCACGTCGGCCACGGAGAAGGAGAGGCCACAGTCCTTGGTGGCGGGCCGCGTCGGTGGCACTGTATTATCCTCAAAGCGGGTGAAGAAGGTGTTTAGCTTGTCCGGAAGGAAGACGTTGGTCTCGGCGACGTGGCTGGTTTTCCTTTTGTAGTCCGTGATTGTCTGTAGACCCTGCCACATACGTCTCATGTTTGAGCCTTTGAATTGCGACTCCACTTTGTCTCTATACTGGCGTTTTGCTTGTTTGATTGCCTTGCGGAGTGAGTAGCTACACTGTTTGTATTCTGCCATATTCCCAGTCACCTTGCCATGGTTGAATGCGGTGGTTTGCGCTTTCAGTTTTGCGCGAATGCTGCCATCTATCCACGGTTTCTGGTTAGGATAGGTTTTAATAGTCACAGTGGGTATGATATCTCCTATACACTTCCTGACATACTCAGTTACAGTATCGGTGTATTCATCTAAATTATTTTCCGCAAGCTACCCGGAACATATCACAGTCCGCGTGATCAAAACAATCCTGAAGCATGGATTCCAATTGGTCAGACCAGCGTTGAATAGTTCTTAGCACGGGTACTTCCGGTTTGAGTTTCTGCCTATAGGAAGGGAGGAGCAAAATGGAGTCGTGGTGAGATTTGCCGAAAGGAGGGCGGGCGAGAGCCATGTAAGCTTCGCGGAAGTTTGAATAACAGTGATCCAGAGTAAATAAATAAATAAATTGGTCATTTAGCAGACGCTCTTATCCAGAGCGACTTACAGGAGCAATTAGGGTTAAGTGCCTTGCTCAAGGGCACATCGACAGATTTTTCACCTAGTCGGCTCGGGGATTAGAACCAGCAACCTTTCGGTTACTCGCACAACGCTCTTAACCACTAAGCTACCTGCCTCTACAATACTACAGTCGATATGTTGATTAGAACTTCGGCAGCATAGTCCTCAAATTTGCTTTGTTAAAATCCCCAGCTACAATAAATGCAGCCTCGGGATATGTGGTTTCCAGTTTGCATAAAGTCCAGTGAAGTTCTTTGAGGGCCGTCGTGGTATCGGCTTGAGGGGGGATATATAAATGGCTGTGGCTATAACGGAGGAAAATTATCTTGGGAGATAATACGGTCGTCATTTGATTATGAGGTATTCTAGGTTGGGTGAACAGAAGGACTCGAGTTCCTGTATGTTACTACAATTACACCATAAGTCATTAATCATGAAACGCACACCTCCGCCCTTCTGCTTCCCGGAGAGATATTCATTCCTATCTGCACGATGAACTGAGAATCCCCCTGGCTGGACCGATCCCGACAGAGTATCCAGAGAGAGCCATGTTACAGGCCCTGATGTCTCTCTGGAAATAAATGCTCGCCCTGAGCTCATCAACTTTGTTATCCAAAGACAGAACATTAGCGAGTAATATACTCGGAAGTGGTGAGTGGTGTACGCGCCTCCTAAGTCGAACCAGCAGGCCGCCTCGAGTGCCTCTCCTCCGCCGGCGATGTTTTGGGTCAGCCTCTGGAATCAGTTCAATTGCTCTGGGGAGAGCGAACAAAGGATCTGCTTCGGGGAAGTCTATTCCTGGTCGTAATGCTGGTAGTTCTGGTGAGTTACCGCCGCTCTGATATCCAATAGTTCTTCCCGGCTGTATCAAAATATTTCCTCAGCTAATAAAGTAAAAAATACATAAAAAAATAAAATAAGGTTACGTTTCCTAAGATCTAGTCACGAGGGCGCCATCTTGATGTGTGTTCATAAATTCAATCTGGAGTGCCAGTGCGCGCTCAGAGTGCCCTCTGGCGTTCCTAAATTCAGGTTGTTTGTTTGTAAATTCAGAGCGTTTCGCTCTTGGAGCGTTCAGAGCGCACATTGGACGTTCTGGCTGAGGAGTAGGGTTGATCCAAGCATTCTGACTTCACAAGTGCAGTCAAGCACCCAAGCTAACGTTGGCTAACTACTTCCAGACAAATGAGAGAACACCTCACTCTGACCATTTTACTAGCCCTAGCAGAGCTGGTTAGGCTGTTTTCATGTTATCCAGAGCGTTGGTGACTAACTGTGCTGCTGGCAACAATTTAATGACGCTTTTTTTGCCGACATTTACTGACACCGGCCATATTCAACTGGTGTTGAGCGTTTGTAAATTCGTCAGTTATTCTGGGCTCTGGCACACTCAGTTGAGTGCTCTGAAATCGGAGTAGACAGCCAGAGTGAATTTACGAATGCACCCCTAGACTGAATAAATTATCTGTCGGCATTTATAAAATTGTACCGAAACTACCTGTTTCCATCACAGCTCTCGTTATTTAAAAAAAAATACAGTATGACTTTACTAGCATAAAAACTGTGGATGGAAACGTGGCTACTGACAGTCAGTGAACTAAGTAGAACACCCAGCTGCTATTGCATTGGTGACTATGGGAGACACACCCTGTTAAGTAGACCGCAACTGACACTTTTGTTTCAATGGCAAACGGCCTGAGTGAACTATCTTCATGTATCCACCATTTTCATTCAATTATATGAAACGTTCGGACATTGGACATTTCGAATTATATCAATAATGCATCTTCGTTGATTGGCCAATGATACAAGTTAACGTTATTACGTTATTACTGTAGCCAATCACAGCGCACGTTTGTCTAAGAGCGGGACGTTCCAAGAGGGGACAGAAATTCTTCAAATCCATCTTTGTTTTCATTTGACTCGACGATGGTGTTGTCCGTTTCAGATTAATCTGTTAGCCAAGTAAACAGATACACATAGCTATAATTTACTTTTAGTGAAAAAAATATCAACTCCATGGGTAAGTGTCATTTACGTAATGTAGCTAAATAAAAATGTTCCGATACGTTTAGCAAGCTGCAAGCTAACCAGTTAGCCAGCTGTAACTCCCAAGCCCAGAAGGACGCTCAATGGTTACCAAGGCAAGCGATTTAAATGTCCAATTCTGGTAGATTATTTTTGAAAAGTGAAAGTCAGTTGAAAGAACATTGCTACTGTTATGTTCTTCTCAACTAGCTAGGTACCCACATTTGACTCTAGTATGTAAAGTTGACTAAATTTAGCTAGCTAGTTAGCTAACTACTTTAGCTACTGTTGTTAATGACTGTTAGTGAACAACATGTTGACAATTTAGATAATCAAGTTAACGTTAGAAAAGTCTCGCGGGCTTCTATGTAGTTAACATTTGCCCATTCAAATAGATGGTAAATGTTATTAAACATTATACCGTCTATTCATTCATTTGACATTTACATTTTAGTCATTTAGCAGACGCTCTTATCGAGAGCGACTTACAGTAGTGAGTGCATAAATTTTTATTTTACCATCCAAAGGCATTGTAATGCAGCTCTACTAGCATGGTGATGGAAAATTGTGTTTCATAAAGAAAGTGTATGCCATTAAATCGAGTTAAGGAGGAAATAGACGCATTTGCAGCTTGAATGGAAGTTTTATTTATGAACCGGTCCACTGGCGATCCGAGTGTATAGCCAGTTGCATACAATGCCTTTGGACAGTAAGATGAAATGACTCGATATCGCCATCTGCGGCCTTTGGGCTATTCACTAAGCCGTCTTCAGCCTGAGGGGTTCTCCCCGACACTGGCCAAATTCTCTGTCTAAACGCAAATGCGCCTCGTACTCGATACAGTTTTGGAAACATTTGTAACTTAACATTCATATACGCGAGGAATCAAGGAAATGCAATTGAGATTCTCCCCAATGGAGCATGACTGGGGAGGAAGTTTCTTATCTCGTTTTGGAAAATTCAGCTGGGTGCAACCAGGATACAACTTTGCTAAACTGCTTACATTAACTGTATATTTTGTATTTGAAAGATTCTTTCTCGCTGTTATTTCAGTTAAGTTCCAAATGTTTCCAAAAATGTATCGCAAGTGAGGATTAATTAACGTTTCTAATTGTAGTGGGATTGAAGTTCACATGGTCCCAGCTGTCCTCCAGACAATCAGCTGAGAACCCAAAACGGGGGAAGCTGGTAGCACCCTTGGGTTCTCGAGAGCTACTTGCTAGCTTGCTAAGTTTATTTGCTCAAACAGGAAAGGCTGAGATGATATCACGTCTCATCAATTTCATGATCGCTACAACTAGCTAACAATATTTTGTCATTTTGTAGACATGGTAAACTCAAACACTGACTTCAAACCAAGAATCTAAGAACAATCCAAGTTCCTGTTGATAATATGAGTCAGAAGATGGAGGAGTTGTACACCCTCGAGAGGGAGGTCGGGCGAGGTAGCTACGGTGTGGTCTTCGAAGGCCACATGTCCAAAACAGGCCAGCGGGTTGCCATAAAACGCCTGCCCTGCAGTAGCCCAGAGTGCATCGAGCTTTACCTCCAGGAGCTGTGGGCCATGAGAGCTACGGCCAAGAACCACCCCAACGTCATCGCCCTCCATGGCTGCCTGCTGCAGACCGGACCCAAGACCCTGCAGCCCCTCAGGCCAGGCAGGCTGCCTCTGGACCTGGTGGAGAGCGCCCTGAAGGGGAGCGTGGTGGGGGTAGAGCAGAACCAGGAGGAGAAAGGGACTAAGTCGGACTCCTCCCGGTCTAAAACTAAGAATAGAACTAACTCGGGTGGTCTCTTCAGATCCAGAACCAAGAGCAGATTGAGAACTAACTCAGAGTCAGACTTCTTCAGGTCCAAATCCCAGGAAAGAACTAACTCTGACTTGTCCATGTCCAAAACGCCTGTGAGGAAAATTTCTGGCCTCTCCAGGCCCAGAAAGAGACCAGCCCCCACAGCAGAAAAGGAGAACCGTGGTCCCAGGCGCTGCTTGGCCCTGTGGCTGGTGATGGAGTACTGTGATGGGGGAGACCTGAACCACTACCTGCTGTCCAGACCTCCAGACAGCCAGAGGAACCACAGCGTGGTCCAACAGCTCAGCTCAGCCATGGCCTTCCTCCACCGCCTCCGCATCGTACACAGAGACCTGAAGCCAGACAACGTGCTGGTCTCTCTCACGCCTAACGGGCCTCTCGTCAAGGTAGGTACACTGAAATTCAAAGGGAAGTGAAAGGGGTGTGTGTGTGCAACCAGTGTAACCACGGTCCCCGCTGAACACTTCAGTGTAACCACGGTCCCCGCTGAACACTTCAGTGTAACCACGGTCCCCGCTGAACACTTCAGTGTAACCACGGTCCCCGCTGAACACTTCAGTGTAACCACGGTCCCCGCGGAACACTTCAGTGTAACCACGGTCCCCGCTGAACACTTCAGTGTAACCACGGTCCCCGCTGAACACTTCAGTGTAACCACGGTCCCCGCTGAACACTTCAGTGTAACCACGGTCCCCGCTGAACACTTCAGTGTAACCACGGTCCCCGCGGAACACTTCAGTGTAACCACGGTCCCCGCTGAACACTTCAGTGTAACCACGGTCCCCGCTGAACACTTCAGTGTAACCACGGTCCCCGCTGAACACTTCAGTGTAACCACGGTCCCCGCGGAACACTTCAGTGTAACCACGGTCCCCGCGGAACACTTCAGTGTAACCACGGTCCCCGCTGAAAAGTACATGTAACTGTAAGAAAAGTTATACTAATTGGGTGAAAGGATCATTAGCTAGTATTTTTTTTTAAACAGCCAAACACATAGTTCATTTAAATCCTGAACTTGAGACTGTAATAATATTCACTGTCTTCTTCAATCTTACATTCCTCTAGGTGGCTGACTTTGGCCTGAGTAAGATGAGCGTTGAGGGAGGCCAGGGGATGGAAGGAGACACTAGTCTGACCAGACAGCACTTCTCCTCTACGTGTGGCTCTGACTTCTACATGGCTCCGGAGGTGTGGGGCGGCCTCAGCTACACGGCCCAGGCAGACATCTTCTCCCTGGGGGTGATGTTCTGGGCCGTCTTGGAGAGACTCACCTTCCTGGAGGAGGGCTCCACACAGGAACAACTGGGTGAGTTAGAGAGAGGGAGGGAGGGAGGGAGGGCTCCACACAGGAACAACTGGGTGAGTTAGAGAGAGGGAGGGAGGGCTCCACACAGGAACAACTGGGTGAGTTAGAGAGAGGGAGGGAGGGAGGGCTCCACACAGGAACAACTGGGTGAGTTAGAGAGAGAGAGGGAGGGAGGGAGGGCTCCACACAGGAACAACTGGGTGAGTTAGAGAGAGGGAGGGAGGGAGGGCTCCACACAGGAACAACTGGGTGAGTTAGAGAGAGGGAGGGAGGGCTCCACACAGGAACAACTGGGTGAGTTAGAGAGAGAGAGGGAGGGAGGGCTCCACACAGGAACAACTGGGTGAGTTAGAGAGAGGGAGGGAGGGAGGGAGGGCTCCACACAGGAACAACTGGGTGAGTTAGAGAGAGGGAGGGAGGGAGGGCTCCACACAGGAACAACTGGGTGAGGGAGGGAGGGAGGGAGGGAGGGCTCCACACAGGAACAACTGGGTGAGTTAGGGAGGGCTCCACACAGGGGAGGGTGTGTGTGTTGTCTCGACCTGTGGCAGCCTATGGAAAACAAATCTATGTTGACTATCTGTGAAAAGATTCAGAGGGGTTAGTTACGCTCCGGTTTCATTTTGGCTCTTCAGAGTCGGAGGATGATGATGATGAAGCAGTCAGACTGTCAGATTTAATTCTCTAAAATGTCTCTGCGCCACAAGCAGCTCTGTTGGAGGGAAACGCTCTGCTACAGGTTTACAATAAAACACCTTCCTTCCCCACCTCGTTTGAAGTGTGTTATCAACCTGAATGAAAACGGCTCTTGTTACCGGAGACAATACTGGATTTGAATATAAAATGGGAAACTGAGGCTCCATTATGTTGCCCGTGGTCTGGTGGCTGAATGGATGGGGTGAGTTAGGGAGGGAGGGAGACTTCCCAGGCCAGTAAAATAGTGGCTCGTTACTCCCCCGCCTCCGTTTTGTTTAGTCTTCCCAGAGCCCATGGATGGATGATAGTTGTACTACAGTAATTATTACAGTTGGTCATGTTCTCCTGGTTGAAGGATTAAGGATGATGGTTTGTTGTTGGTCTACATACAAAGATTATATTTTCACAGACTGCAGTACTGATATCTGTCCTGTACCTGTGTGTTCCTACGTGTATGTATGTGTGTGTGTTAATGGGTCAGCAGGCTTCAGTTCGGCTGGCTCCTAGCAGGCTTCAGTTCGGCTGGCTCCTAGCAGGCTTCAGTTCGGCTGGCTCCTAGCAGGCTTCAGTTCGGCTGGCTCCTAGCAGGCTTCAGTTCGGCTGGCTCCTAGCAGGCTTCAGTTCGGCTGGCTCCTAGCAGGCTTCAGTTCGGCTGGCTCCTAGCAGGCTTCAGTTCGGCTGGCTCCTAGCAGGCTTCAGTTCGGCTGGCTCCTAGCAGGCTTCAGTTCGGCTGGCTCCTAGCAGGCTTCAGTTTCGGCTGGCTCCTAGCAGGCTTCAGTTTCGGCTGGCTCCTAGCAGGCTTCAGTTTCGGCTGGCTCCTAGCAGGCTTCAGTTTCGGCTGGCTCCTAGCAGGCTTCAGTTTCGGCTGGCTCCTAGCAGGCTTCAGTTTCGGCTGGCTCCTAGCAGGCTTCAGTTTCGGCTGGCTCCTAGCAGGCTTCAGTTCGGCTGGCTCCTAGCAGGCTTCAGTTCGGCTGGCTCCTAGCAGGCTTCAGTTCGGCTGGCTCCTAGCAGGCTTCAGTTCGGCTGGCTCCTAGCAGGCTTCAGTTCGGCTGGCTCCTAGCAGGCTTCAGTTCGGCTGGCTCCTAGCAGGCTTCAGTTCGGCTGGCTCCTAGCAGGCTTCAGTTCGGCTGGCTCTTAGCAGGCTTCAGTTTCGGCTGGCTCTTAGCAGGCTTCAGTTTCGGCTGGCTCCTAGCAGGCTTCAGTTTCGGCTGGCTCCTAGCAGGCTTCAGTTTCGGCTGGCTCCTAGCAGGCTTCAGTTTCGGCTGGCTCCTAGCAGGCTTCAGTTTCGGCTGGCTCCTAGCAGGCTTCAGTTTCGGCTGGCTCCTAGCAGGCTTCAGTTTCGGCTGGCTCCTAGCAGGCTTCAGTTTCGGCTGGCTCCTAGCAGGCTTCAGTTTCGGCTGGCTCCTAGCAGGCTTCAGTTTCGGCTGGCTCCTAGCAGGCTTCAGTTCGGCTGGCTCCTAGCAGAACTGGGCTAACCGAACCAGTGTTCCTGGATACTCCCTTTTAATATACCTTCACTTGAAAAATGAGAAAAAAGCAGTAATAGTACGGTTTGTCAATTTTTTTAAACGTTGTAGCTAGTGTACACTTCCTCAAAATAGTCAGAATTAATCTAAAATAACTCAAGAAATCTGTAATTTTGACATTTTTGCCGAAGAGATCTTTAGTCGCTCAATTATACATCTAAATCAGATGTTTGGTGCAGTGTTTGGTGCAGTTTTTTTATGAAAATGTGCATTAAAGCAAGTCGTCTCGTTGAATGACGACTTTATTGAAGATTCCCTACTCTTGACCAATCACCGATGAAGGGGCGTAGACATCGGCTCCCGGGGGGAAAAAATGGTGTGCCCAAACAGCCGGAAAAAAACCTCACCAAAGTCCAAAACGTCACAAAATGTCGTCATAATATATGCACAAACTCTAGCGAACTGTTTCGGCTGGGAAGCATGCGGACGCCTTAAGGATGTTTAGTACTGATATACAGTCTTTTTTTCCCTGTGTGTTCCTACAGGTGCGTACGTGTGTAAGGCCCGCTGGCTGATGCCCCTGGGCGAGGCGTTGTGTGAGAACCCGGACCTCCAGGTGTGTATCCCCATGAAGTCCCGCCGCGCCCCACCTCTACCGCCCCCTCCTGGCCAGGCTGTCTGCACCCTGCTACTGGACATGCTGGCCTCCGACCCTGACGCCCGGCCCACCGCCGCCCAGCTGGAAGACAGGGTCCTCTCTGCCATGGGGGAGGACTCACAGTGACACGTACAACAGGCTGCGTCCCAAACCTTACCCCATATCCCCTTTTTATAGTGCACTACTTTTGACCAGGGTGTACATAGGGTTTCGGTCAAAAGTAGTGCATTATACTGGGATATGGATCCTGGTCAAAAGAAGTGCACTAGATGGGGAATGGAGTGCGTATTGGGATGCAGAGACGGTGACCGAGCTTCTATATCCAATGTACTGAAACTCGTAGTCAATCTTATCTACTAGCTGTGTGAGTGACCGTGACGGAGTTAAACCCACAACCTTGGGTTGATGTTGCCACTAGTCAGTACCATGCTAACCACTGGTGATCTGTTTCTTATCCATATAATAATAACAATAATAATATGCCATTTAGCAGACGCTTTTATCCAAAGCGACTTACAGTCATGCGTGCATACATATTTTTGTGTATGGGGTGGTCCCGGGGATCGAACCCACTATCTTGGCGTTACAAGCGCCGTGCTCTACCAGCTGAGCTACAGAGGACCACAATATTTTATCAATATATTCATTTTTATGTGGTCCGTACATGGAATTGAACCCACAACCTTGGTGACCAATGCCCTAGCCATCTAATGCTCAAAAAGCAATTTGTGCTAACTTGCCAGTATCATGGTAACCACTGGTGATCTGGAACAGATCTACTACTACACAGGAACCTATGGTTCTAAGATGTTTTTGGGGAAACCGGGCCCTAGTCTTATGACTCTGAGGGAAGCTAACTGTTCTTTTTGGTACACCAACAGACCTTACTGGGTTATGGAGTGAGTGGGGGTTTTGTCTTCGATGCTACAAACAGTACGTTACATGCTTTCACTGTTTGGTTCGCTAGCCTATGGGGGCTACGTTTTGGTTAGAAATGGTCCCAGTTTGCACCAAATATTTATTGTTTCATTAATCATGGAATTTACTTGAATGATTTATAGCGCTGCTTGAAGATACCACTTGATGTATATACGTATTAAACTGTAACATTTTATTTTAAGGGAATGTGATTTAATAAATACATATTTGTGGCGTTTGTGAGTGTCATTAGTGACTTTAATCAATATGATGCTCAGTTCATTTTTGCATTTGAGATACTTTTGTATACACAGTATTCAGACCCCTTGACTTTTTCCACATTTTGTTACAGCCTTATTCTAAAATGGATTAAATTGTTTTCCCCCCCTCATCAATCTACACACAATACCCCATAATGACAAAGCAAAAACAGGTTTTTAGAATTTGAAATATCACATTTTACTTAAGTATTCAGACCGTTTACTCAGTACTTTGTTGAAGCACCTTTAGCAGCGATTACAGCCTCGAGTCTATTGAATGACTCTACAAGCTTGGCACACCTGTAATTGGGGAGTTTCTCCCATTTCTTCTCTGCAGATCCTCTCGAGCTCTGTCAGGTGGGATGGGGAGCGTCGCTGCACAGCTATTTTCAGGTCTCTTCAGAGATGTTCGCTCGGGTTCAAGTCCAGGCTCTGGCTGGGCACTCAAGAACTGGAGCAGGTTTTCGTCAATGATCTCTCTTTACTTTGCTCCGTTCATCTTTCCCTCGATACTGACTAGTCTCCCAGTCCCTGCTGCTAAAAAACATCCCACAGCATGATGATGCCATCACCATGATTCACCGTAGGAATGGTGCCAGGTTTCCTCCCGAAATGACGCTTGGCATTCAGGCCAAAGAGTTCAATCTTGGTTTCATCAGACCATAGAATCTTGTTTCTCATGGTCTGAGAGTCCTTTATGTGCCTTTTGGCAAACTCCAAGCGGGCTGTCATGTGCCTTTTACTAAGGAGTGGATTCCGTCTGGCCACTCTTATCATAAAGGCTTGATTGTTGGTGTGCTGCAGAGATGATTGTCCTTCTGGAATGTTCTCCCATCTTCACAGAGGAACTCTGGAGCTCTGTCAGAGTGACCATAGGGTTCTTGGTCACCTCCCTGACCAATGCTCTTCTCCCCCGATTGCTCAGTTTGGCCGGGCGGCTAGCTCTACGAAGAGTCTTGGTGGTTCCAAACGTCTTCCATTTAAGAATGATGGAGGCCACTGTGTTCTTGGGTACCTTAAATGCTGCAGACATGTTTTGGTACCCTTCCACAGATCTGTGCCTTGACATAATCCTGTCTCGGAGCTCTACGGACAATTCCTTCAACCTCATGGCTTGGTTTTTGCTCTGACATGCACTGTCAACTGTGGGACCTTATGGACAAGTGTGTGCCTTTCCAAATCATGTCCAATCAATTGAATTTACGACAGGTGGTAGAAACATCTCAAGGATGACCAATGGAAACAGGATGCACCTGAGCTCAATTTCGAGTCTCATAGCAAGCGGTCTGAATACTTATGTAAATAAGGTATTTCTGTTTTTTATTTGTAATAAATGAACTTAGTCATTATATGGTATTGTGTGTAGATTACAATTTTTATTTATTTATTCCATTTTAGAATAAGGCTGTAACGTGACAAAATGTGGAAAAAGTGAAGGGGTCTGAATACTTAACGAATGCACTGTATAGAGTATGTGGACACCCCTTCAAATTAGTCAATTCTGCTATTTCAGCCACACCCGTTGCTGACAGGTGTATAAAATTGAGCACACAGCCATGCAATCTCCATAGACAAACATTGACAGTAGAATGGCCTTACAGAAGATTAACATGGTACCATCGTAGGATGCTACTTTTCCAACAAGTCAGTTCGTTAAATTTCTGCCCTGCTAGAGCTGCCCCGGTCAACTGTAAGTGCTGTTATTGTGAAGTGGAAACGTCTAGGAGCAACAACGGCTCAGCCGCGAAGTGGTAGGCCACACAAGCTCACATAATGGGACCGCCGAGTGCTGAAGCGTGTAAAAATCGTCTGTCCTTGGTTGCAACACTCACTACCGAGTTCCAAACTGCCTCTGGAAGCAACGTTAGCATAAGAATTGTTCGTCGGGAGCTTCATGAAATGGGTTTCCATGGCTGAGCAGCCGCACACAAGCCTAAGATCACCATGCGCAATGCCAAGCGTCGGCTGGAGTGGTGTAAAGCTGGCCGCCATTAGACTCTGGAGCAGTGGAAATGCGTTCTCTGGAGTGATAAATCACGCTTCACCATCTGGCAGTCCGACGGACGAATCTGGGTTTGGCAGATGCAAGGTGAACCTTACCTGCCCCAATGCATAGTGCCAACTGTAAAGTTTGGTGGAGGAGGAATGGTCTGGGGCTTTTTCATGGTTCAGGCTAGGTCCCTTAGTTCCAGTGAAGGGAATTCTTAATGCTACAGCATACACTGGCATTCTTAATGGCAACAGTTTGGGGAAGGGTGTTTCCTGTTTCAGCATCACAATGCCCCCATGCACAAAGCGAGGTCCATACAGAAATGGCTTGTTGTGATCAGTGTGGAAGAACTTGACTGGTCTGCACAGAGCCCTGACCTCAAACCCATTTGGGATGAATTGGAACGCCAACTGCAAGCCAGGCCTAATTGCCCAACATTAGTGCCTGACCTCAAAGGGGGGACCAAATCTATATTAATGCCCATGATTTTGGAATGAGTTGTTCGACAAGCAGGTGTCGACATACTTTTGATCATGTAGTGTATTTAGAATGGAGTTATGTCAATCGAGCAGGTGAGATTTTTTATGTGTCTTTTTCAGTGTATCAGTTTAGATTGAGTCAATTTTGGGTCCTGTCATAAACTTGTTGCTGAGCAACCCACACATTGTGAGAGTCCAACAGCGTTTCATGGGCTGTTGTAATAAAAATAATATGCCATTTAGCAGACGCTTTTATCCAAAGCGATTTACAGTCATGCGCGCATACAATTTTTTTGTGTATGGGTGGTCCCGGGGATCGAAGCCACTACCTTGGCGTTACAAGCGCCGTGCTCAACCAGCTGAGCTACAGAGGACCACTCATCAACCCCTCCAGGCTATGCTTTAGTTGATATGATTCTGCCAGTCACAGCAAGCCTGAGAGTTGGTACACACCAATTTACACAAATCCTGAACTCATCTCACCAAAATGATGTTTTCGCGCTCAGCGATTTGGGCGAAAACTTTTCTTTAGTTTGACTCATGCAAACGTGACCAACTTTGCCATGATTCATGTATACAGTGGATAGTCGTTTTAGATTTCACAGCTAATAACAGACAGAGAGAGAGCAGGAGCAGAAGGGGAGATAAGCGATATTGGCCCCATTGCGTCAGTGTTGAAAGTGAAACAGTAACACACAGTAAAGTCACGACATTGGTTCCAGGGAATTACGCAGCGCACAGTAGGGCTTTCTCGTTCAGTAGGGCTTTCTCGTTCAGTAGGGCTTTCTCGTTCAGCCTTAATTATCTTTGACTCCACCAACACCACACTGACTGAAGAATTGTGGGAATATGTGACATGGGGCACGTTCGAGCGGATCACTTTTGATCTTTCAAAGTGTGTTGCATTATGGTGATAAAAATGATCCTACTAACCCCTATATGTCGACAGCATGAACTTTACAAAAATCGTGTGATCAAAGGTTATGAAGTTTTGACTGCAGTCGACAGCAAGTTTGTGCAGTTGCTGTTCACCAACTTCATTCTGCAGCCATCGCTTGCATTGTGGGAGGCTCTATTGTCAACCAATCATTCGGTTTTTTCCCTGTTGTTGACTCATGCAAACGTGACCCAAGACATGAATGAAACAGGAGCCAAACTTTGCCATGATTCATGTATACAGTGGATATATACAAATGGATGTGATGTTTGAGGCTCTCTCACTAATTGATTGTACACACATGATTTGTGGTCCTCTGTAGCTCAATTGGTAGAGCATGGCGCTTGTAACGCCTGGGTAGTGGGTTCGATCCCCGGGACCACCCATAAGTAAAAAAATGTATGCACGCATGACTGTAAGTCGCTTTGGATAAAAGCGTTTGCTAAATGGCATATTAATTAATGATTTCGGTGTT